GCGCTGCGTGGCCAGGCCTTCTCTGAGGGAGCCCAGGTCGGCCATTCCCCTCAGCTGGGCTGGTCCCCCAGGGCTTGCAGATCTCGTGGGCTGAGGTCTCGTGAGCACCTGTAGGAGCTCCAAATTGTATGCAGCTGAAGTAGAGGTCGCTCAGGGGACCTGTTCTGAACGCTGGTGGCCGAATCCACACGCCTCACCTTCAGGGACTGATCTTTGCACATCCTCTTCACCGTGGAACTTTCCAGGACTTGTCCCCACGGCCTTCGCAGCAGGACGGCTCAGGCTCCTAGCATCTCTGCACTGAGTGTGCACCACTTCCTCCTCACAGGTGCTGGGACCGCTTCCCAGCAGGCATCGAGGCGCCCTGGCCCAGTGAACTGGGCTCTGCCCGCAGGGAGCCAGCCAGGGCCTCTCTGCAGCCCCACTCCAGGGCAGCCCTGCAGGCGAGGGGAGCGGAGGGGAGGGGCGGCCAGCAGGCTGAGCGGTGCAGGCCCAGCCAGCTTTCCTGTCAGACGGGCGCTGCCAAGGCGGAGCCAGACATCGGAACAGGTTTAACCAATTACCCGAGCGCCCCATCTGCTGTCTGGGGTGTGTGTGAGGGTGAGTGCATGTGAGGGTGTTTGGAGTGTCTGGGAGGGCTGTGGGTGTGTGCGCAAGTGTGACTGTGGGTGCCTGTGGGCGTTCGGCTGTGCATGTGTGCGGCTGTGCACGTGTGCGGTCTGTGGCTGCGTGGCCCGGTCATGCCCCTCATTTGTGAAAACTGTGGCTGTGGCTTATGGTCTTCCTGTCCCCCAGACTTTGGGGTCTGCGTGGACAGCCCACCTATTGTCCCAGCCTCTCACTCCCTCATCTCCCCCTCACCACCGTCTCTCAGGGATGAGCAGAGCCCAGAGTGGGGCCTTCTCTCAAATCATGTGCGGGTGTCTTTTCCCGTCGAACCCCGAGCTCTTCCCAGTCGCTGGCTTGCTCCTTTCCCTCTGCAGCAGTGCAGGACCTTGTGGGGGCCCTCAGCCCCCTCTGCTCTCTTTCCGACACATCCTTGTCCCACTATTCCTTGGTTGCACTTGCCTGACAGACTAGAAACCCTGCTTGAACAGGCTTCTCCACCTGCCCGTGCAGTTGAGTCCGTGAGGACAGCAGGCAGGTGTGCAGGGCAGTGCCCCTCAATGTTGCGGGTCCCCCTCAGCTGAGGCCTCGCCCTGTTGGTGAGTCGCCTTCCGCCTCCAAACGCAATGTCTCAACCTGTCGCCCTCCCTCCAAGCCTCTCTCCCTCCTGACCCTCAGCAGAGGGCCTTACTCCCACCTTCAGAGACAGCCCTGGAAGGGGACACCATTGCATCAGTCAGATGGTACCTTCAGACAGCACTTTGAGGAGTTTACTACAGGAACAATTGAATTTTGGGGAACCTACAGGGATGGTGCCGTACCCCAGAGCTGGTAACAATGGGGAGCCCATATGGCCCTGAGGCCTGAGGAGGCAGGAGGCAGGGACAGCTACTGGAACCTGGACCAGACAGCTGGCCGGAGAGGGCTTCCAGGCAGGAGCTGTGACCTTCAGTATAGAGAGGCTCAGAGATGGCTGGAGGGACCAGAAGGGAAAATCCCCCAGCCTCACTCCTCCAACCCTCCAGTTTCCTGCTGAGACTCCCAGTGGTGGAAGCCAGAGAGCAAGCCCTTAGTCGGCTTCCAGCGTCAGAGCAGGCGGACAGGTACAGAGTGGATCTGGAGGGGCAGGAGCTCCCTGCCCTCAACCCCACGCTGCCTGCAGCCAGCCCTTCCTCTCCACCTGCCTCCTGTCACCATCTGCCACTTTCTCCCCTTCTGGCTCAGAAGGACCCACCCCCTACGCCCCACCTCCAACCTTGGCTTCAGAGTCTCCCTGCCTGGAGGTGCTCACTGAGAGGCTGTTCCAACTCCTTCTGCGACACGGTCTCTTCTGACTCTTGCCTGAGGGTCCACCTTCTAAGCGCCCCCTCAGCTCCATGTCACGCTGCCCCACGTCTGCCCGTCAGCCAAATGTCATGAAGGAATGAGCTACACCGGCCATCGGTGGGAGTCCTACTGACTTCTTGACCCGTGGAGATCTGTCTTTTGCCCTGACCACATCCCACTGAGGCCCTTTTCTCTGGGTCCTCCATGGGGCCTGCCTTGGTCTGTGTCTGCCTTTACCTCTTGGCCTCAGTGAAGTACATGGAAACCCCTTCTGCCTGAAGCACCCCCATCACTGTCCTCTGCAATGCCACGCCCTCCCCACCTTCCTCACCTCTCACCTTGGTGCACTGGGCCGCCATGACAAAGCTCTCGGACTGAGTGGCTTCGACAACCAAAATGTATTTCCTCCCAGCACTGGAGGCTGCCGGCCTGACGTAGGGGCCGGCAGGACGGGTTTCTTCTGAAGCCTCTCTCCTTGGTCTGCAGACGGCGCCTTCGTCTTTTCAGGGTCTTCTTCCTCTAGTGTGGCTGTATCCAATCTCCTCTTCTTAAAAGGACATCAGTCATTTTGGATTCTCATTTGGATGAGAGCCACCTTCATAACTGCCTCTTAACTTCATAACCTCTGTAAAGACCCTTCTCCAAATACAGTCACATTTGGAGGCCCCGGGCATTGGGATTCCACAGATAAGTTCTGGAAGGACACAGCTCAGCCCTCACACCTCCCTGTGGCCGAGCTGCCTTGTCTCTGCCCAGACCTCAAAGGTGGGGCTCCTCAAAGCTCCGTTCCAGTCTTCCTCTAGGAAGAGGCCACTCCCCTGGGTGGCCATCTCTGCTCCTCCAGCTCCAGGTGCTCCCTAGACATGGATAACAGGCACAACCACATTCCCCATCCCCACCTGCCTCCTGAGCTCCAGGCCAGCATTCCTCGTTGTCTCTTGGTGTCCACTTGGTTACCTCCCAGAAGCCTCTGACACCTTGTAAATTGAAATGCATCCCCTTTCCTGTGAGTTTGTTCCTCCTCTGCACCTTAGCTCAGAAATGCCCCCCTCTCTGCTGCCTAAGCCAGGAACCTAGGGTCATCCCTTACTTCTCTCTGCCACCCTCATGGAGAGCCAAGCAGTCCTCAATCTTCACGTCTCTCCTTCCCCCTCCATCACCACCACGTGGCCCACATCTTCCTCACCTTGACTGCCGCGGGGGTCCCTCATCCAGTTCCCCCAGCAGCCTGGCTGTGTCCACTCCACCCTCCACTCTGTAGCCAGGTCATTGTACTTGTCTACTTAAAGCCTCAAGGGGCTCTCCACTGGCCTGTGGCCACACCACCGCTCCTGGGTCTCCCTTCTATTCTCTAATAATACCTGATGGCCTGGGATGGAGGGTGGCCCCTTCCCTCACTTTCTCATGGATTTGCATGGGGTCTTCCAGGAGAGGGTCTGGTGGTCTGGGGCCTGTCTGTCCATTTGTCCATCTTCTCTCTCCCTTTGTTCTCTTCTCCACCCCTCCATAAGGCCCAAGGAGCTGGGGTGGGCCCCAGATTCTTGCTGTGGCTGAGAAGGTGTCCTTGTGGGGAAGGAAAGGGGACTGGCTCTGGCCTTAGGCGAGGCTGCCAGCAGCTGCCTCGGTGTGCAGAGTGGAAAGTGTACACTTTTCGGCCATTGTCCAGACAGACTCAGTTCTGCAGGGAAGGGTGGGCATGCAGGGGTTAGGCCTTTGAGGAAGCGGCTGAGGCATTCCTGTTTTGGGAGCTAATTGGTGGCAGAGGGATGGGTGAGACGGCAGAAGCTGCCGCAGCTTGAGGGGACTGAGGGAGCTATGAAAATGAGGCTAGTTCCCTGAGGCATCAGGAAGGGTCACTCATCGTGGTCCCCATCCCCTCACATTCTGCCTCTCCTTCTAACCGTGGCCTGAGTGGGAGGAGGGAGGCCCCATGGGCCAGGCAGGAGGGGCTGGGGGCAGGGGAGGCCACATTCCTGGAGTGTTAATGATCTCTGGGCTGGGTAGGAGCTGAGCCCCCAAACCAGCTAAAAACAACAAACAGCTCCCAGGAGGGATTTGTGTCTGTCCTGAGAGTCAACGATTTCCGCCCCGGATGGAGGCTGTGGCCTGTGGAGCTCTTAGCAAAGAAATTCCCCAGAGACCAGAAGCCCTGGCCCAGAGGTATCATTTTGAGAACAGCCCCCTCCCCCGACTCTCTCTCTCCTCACTCTCTAACGGTGAGGGGCCCAGCTCCCAGGAGGGGAGGCAGGCCCTCCCCCACACACCTGGGATGGGAGAGAGGATTCCGGGTGCATTCCTGCTCCAGCTCTCCATCCTTACAACAGTCCAGGGAGTGAGGCTGTTCTTGGCATTTTATAGGTAAGGACACCACGCCTCAGTTAGAGACACAGTCAGTAAGTGTCCGACCAAATTGATGGGTGAATAAAGGAAGCATCTGATTAGAAGTCCCAGTCACGCTGGGCCAAGCTTCGGCTGGAACTGGGGTCTGTCTGACCTCAACCATGATGGCTTTCCAGCTCCCTGCCCCCTTCTCTCTGCAGGGAACTCTGGGGGCCCGCCTGGAAGAAGAGGAACCATCGCTATCAGGAGGTAGCTGAGTCCCAGCCACAACGGATAGTGGAGGAGTTAAGAAGAGGAAGAGCTCCCAGGGCTGGTACCATGCCATGAGGCACCTTTCCACTTGGCTCAAATCTTCCTTCCCTAGGAGGCCTCTCTTGGCCCCAGGTGGTCCAGGCCCCTCGGGCCTCCCAGCCCCATGGATATCAACAGTATGGGAATCTACCGAGTCTTATTAACTCACGTTCCTTGAGGGCAGGCTCCTTAGGGAGTGCTCAATAACGGCTCTGTAAGGGGAGCCCTGCGGTTCCACCCTCTGCCCTCACATGGTCTCCATCCTTTCCTCTTCCCTTCCCTCTAGGCCTCCCAGCTGGCCCCATCCAGCCTGGAACCTGGGTCTGTACCTTCCTTGGGGGCCTTCCCACAAAATCCTCAGGCAGTCCTTCCCTTTCCCACTGGGTTCCAGTACACCGCCCCCCTTCCCACCCACAATTCACAAAGCCACACCCTGATGCTTTAAATCCCTTATTTATTGCCCAAAGCTCATTAGTATTACATAAATCACATAGATTGAGAAATGTTCTGAGGTTAAAAAGACACTGCAAAGGCCCCTGGGAGTGGCTGAGGCTTGCCTGCTGGGGCCCCACTCTCACTGGTCCAGGCTTGAAGACCACCCCAGGTCTGTCCACCAGCCTTTCTCCTCCTCTAGGCTCCTGACCTTCTCCCAGGCCAGAGGCCAGAACTCAAAACAAGTCAGCTCATAACCAGAAAGTGAAAGGAGTCTGTCGGCCAGCTTGACTCCATGGCCAGCTTGACATCTTGGGGTTCTGGTCCCTGCACCCTCACATTACTGTCTGGAAATGGAAGAAGGGCATCCCCAAGCATGAGGGAATGTTTGAAGTGACCAGAGGAGGGCCGGGCAGGGACACCAGGGCTGGAGAACCACTGCAGGTGTGGCCCGTGTTCTGGCACAGCCTCCGCCCCAAGCATGAACCAATCTACCCCTCAGGCCTCCCTTCCTTGGGCCTCAGCAAAATAGGGCATGGGTGCTGGGTGAAGGTTTCCCCTCACCGGGCTTTCCAAAGCCAGACCGGGGCCTAGTGGCATGGCCCACTGTCTCTATGTCACCCTCACCCTGGGCTATCTGGATCCTCTGCCACTGTAACGCCACAGGAGCAGACCCCTCGGCTCACCTGAAACTGCATTTGTGAGCATGATGGAAATCACCGGGGAGACAAAGCAAGTATGTTATGAGATCTGAGGCCACAGGCTGGGCCAGGGCACCCATCTCTGCCAGGCCTCTGGCAAGGGGAGGGCGGGGGGTGGTCAGGCAGTTTTGGTCTCAAGATAAAGTGCACAAGACAACTCTATGATAGGTAGGAGCAGGGTGAGCTTAAAGTGAGCTTTTCAAAAGAAGACCCAGACATGCCAGCAGTCATTGGCATATTCACATGACGGTGGGATTGGCTCAAAAAAGCCTGCCCCTCTAACACCATGGCACCCCCCCATTCCCCCAATGCTTTGTCCTCCAGGCTTGTCTAAGCCTCTCCCTCTCCTCACAGGCAGTAGGTGGGCCACTCCTCAAGAGAGTGGCAGGCCCCTCAGGGCAATGCGCTGCAGAGCCAGCTGTGGGAACCAGGGGCTGGCAGAGAGGCAACTGCAATGCCCAAGGAAGACCTGCCTCAGCACACTTACTAAGATGCTGCCCTGTGCCAGCCTTTTCCTACACATGCATGTTTGCCTCTGGCCCAAATCTCCCCTGAGGTGGAGTCCCCAGGGGAGGGAGGCCCGGGGCTGCAGGTGGAGGCTTACTTTCCAGGTGGGGTCAGGACAGGGCTGCACTGAGGCCGGTGCTTCCCCTTGTTTTGGGCCTTTCAGGTGAGGGGTCACGTGCTCACACCCACCCCAGGCTCTGCTTCTCTTTGTAGAGCTTGCTCTTCCTTCCTGGCCAGCAAATGGGAAGGAGATGAGAGCCGGCAGCAAGGGGCCTCTGAGGCTGCAGGAGTGAAAGGTGACACGCAGGTGTGGCCCCACCATCAGGTCCAGGTATCTGTGTTACCTCCTCCGCCAGAACTGTGAAGTGTTTGGCGAAGGTCAAGTGCTCCCGGGATATGGGGTCACATACAGAAGGCAAGGTCCAGGTTCTGAGGCCAATTGCTAGTCCAAAGGGGCCTGCCCCCTTCGCAGTCCAGTGTCCACATTGGGGACATGCCCAGGATGACCAGCATCTAGGCACAACAGGCAAAGACAAGGTCTTGCTGGAGGAGCCAGTGGGAACCCCTTGATCCAGTCTTCTGGTTTCAGACAGGGAGCGGAGGATCAGAGAAGGAAATGAATTTGTCCGACATCACAATGCCATTTACGGCCAGAGCCAGGCCCAGCTGTTCCTGGGTTGATGCTGCTTCTCTGATAGGTGTCTAAGGAGCTGGCCTAGGCGTTCTCAGGCATGGGACCTTCCTGCTTAGAAAGGGATGGGATGGGGCAGGCAGCCTTGGTGGCTGGAGCTCTGCGGAAGGCGGCGAGCCCAGTTCCAGCCCCACTCTCAGCCCCAGCGTCCAGCCTGGGGCCTGGAAGGAGGATCTTCTCAAAGAGGTCAAGTGCAGGTCCACGGTTCCTGCCAAGCACCATTCCTTCTCTGGGATTCTTGCCTGGAGCTGGGGTCACCTCAGGGGCCCTGAATCAGAGCTCCACGAAGGGGGACCCTAGCTCCAGGGTCACTGGGCTTCACTCAGAGGTGCCAGTTCTGCAGCTCTGGAATGGACATGGACTGGCTACATTCAGAGCCAGCTGCCCACACAATCGTGCAGAGGCCTCCGGTGCTCCCCGATTCCCTGGACCACTTCCTGAGGACCTTTGTCATGGCTAGTTCATCCTGTGGGGTGCAGACCTCCTTCTCTCCCCTCCCCATGCCAGCCTGGGGAGCCATCTGGGCTGGCCACTGTAATAGCCTAAATTTACCAGCCTGGCCACCAAACCAACCTAGCTCTAGGCCTAATCTGGCTCCCCCCACTTGTCCTGCCATTTCTGGTCAGCTGAAACTAAGGCTCAGATTTGATTCTGATAAAAAATAAAAATAAAAAAGAAATCAAAAGTATAAAAGGATTGTAATTCTACCCCATGGGCACGCTACGATTTTTCAGCTTCTCACATAATTGTGCTGAGTGGAGTTTTGACAACCCCACATAAGGCCCAGAAATGCACTTGATTATGCTCTGTAGGAAATGTGTTAGAACTCCTCTTCCCTATGTTAAAATGTGAATGGGTCAGTCTCCCTCCACTGCAGGTTGAGCACTCTCCCGAGCCCCGGATTGCTGGGGTTGGCATGCGGCTCCCCGCAGGTGCAGCCTGAGTCTCTGGCCCTGCCCCTCAGCTCCCCAGCTGCACAGTGCTCGGTCCCCAGGCCGCTGACCACACTCACAGCCCCTTGTTGTATACCACTGTCCGGCTGCTTGTGGCCCGGGCTATCTCCGGCTCTAACTGGGACGTTTCAATCTGCAGAGAGAGAACAGAGAGGAAAATGGGCTAGTGGGAAGGCACAAATAGCGGGGCTGGGAGCTGCAGTGAGGACCACCCTGGGGCCCAGAGCTGTATCCCTCTGCACTCCCCATGTCCGTCCCGGCCAGGGCTCACATGCCCTACCTAGAGACACATATTCCTTCTCCACCGCCCTTCCGCCATGGGGCTCACTGCACCCCTTCCAGCCCAGACCTGGCCTTTTTCTTTTGATGGCATGTCCACGTGAGTGGACATCCTACACGCTGGCCTCAGTTCTGCATCCCCTTCACCTCCAAGAACCATGTCCGCCAAACTGCAGACCCACCATAGCCCCGCCCAGGGCCATCCCCTGGACCTGATGACCACCCAGGGCGGCTCCACCTCAACTCCTTCCATCCAAACCCCACCCTCCTAGGTTCTTCAGCCCCTGCCCTTCCCGCACCCCACTCACTCCTGCTTTTGTCTCCAGCCCACTAGACCTCAGGGCTCACACTCCCACCACTCAGTCTTTACATCTTCCCCACCCCTGCAACATGGACTCTGGGGGCCATCCCTTCAGCTACTCCCTAGGCCAAGAGTTCCTCCCACTCTGCTGGGAGAAGCCCTGCTTTGGAGAATCCCGCCATGCACCCTGCTCCTACACTTAAACCTACACTTAAACCTGACCATGTAATGGAGACCTTCAAAATTCCGTTTTTGACTTTGGCTGGACCCTCACTGATGGCTGACAACCACCCCACCCCAGCCCTCACAGCCAGGTCAGCTCCCTCACCCACTCTCAGAGGCCACCCGACACCTGCTCTGCTGTCCTCTCCTCGGCCACCTTACCCACCCTGTTCCCACTCATCCCAGGAAAGTGAGACTTCCTTTTACTCAGAGAAAAAGCTGAAGGTGTCAGAGGGGAGCCCCTCAGCTTCCTGTCATCAAACCCGCTGCCCCCCGTGTCCACGCACGGCTTCCCCCCTGCCCTCCTGCTACCCCACAGCTGCCATCCCTCCCCTCACAGGACAGAAGCCCACCTGGCTCTCCCTCCCCTGCCCACTCCAGGACCCTGTCCGGGGTCATCCTCCCTCTCTCCCACCCTTGCCTGTTAGTGTTCCACACACAGGAACCTTCCTTGATGACACCTCCCCTTCACCCTGAGGCAGGCCCAGCTACTACCTGGTGTCCCTCCTCCCCAGCAGCCACATTTCTTTAAAAAACTGTCTACAATGGCTGTGTCCACCTCCTTCCCTCCCACTGACTTTTCAACCCACAGTAAATCTGGCTTCTGTTCTCACCACACTCCAGAAAAATCTTTCTCTCCAAGGTCACTGCCACCTCCCATTTCACGACACTCACTGCATGCTCCTGTGGGTCCTGGGGACTTGGCCTGGCTGGGCCCTCTTCTCTGCACATGCCCCAGGTTACCCCACACCAGAGTTCTCCACCCTTGTTTCTCCCTGGAGCCTCAGGTTCACAGCTGCTTGCCTACCAGACGTTGTTGTGGACGTCTCACAGGAACCTGAACTCAACCCACCTGAAATGGAACTGAACCCGCCTCTTCCCTGGCCCCACCCAGCCCCCCATCTCGGGAATGATCGGCCATCCAGTGAGTGGTGCTCTGGCCAAAGACTCTAGAGCCTCTTTGCGTCCTCTCCCCTGCCCTCCCCACAAGGTCTCACCCAGCCCAGTCCATCCTCCACCACAGCCAGTGCCAGCCTTCTAAACTGCAAGTCCGCCCCTGCCTCTCTTCACTGTGAAATGGCTCCGTGGCACCCTGATCCTCAGGGATCAAGTCAGATCCCCGTGCCACCCTGCCCCTTGGACTGGAGACACAGTGTGCATGGACTGATTTTGGTTCCACGCACACCCTGGGCTGCATCCGCACTCTGGTCTTTGCCTGAGCTGTCCAGAGATGCCCGTCCTACTTCCATTCCTGCCCCTACTCCGCTCTCCCAACTTCAGCTCATCATCCTGCATGTCTCAGCTTTAGCCACCTTTCCTCCCCCAGGCTGGGTGTGGTCACCTGTGTGGCCCCCATAGCTCCCTGAACTTCTCCCATCCTGGCCTCTCCACGTTAGATCACAAACTCCCTGAGGCAGCAGACGTGTGGATCTGGCTCACCCCTGTGTCCTCAAAGCCTGGCACAACGCTGCTATACAGTAGGTGCTCCCTCAGTGTGGAATATGTGGGCAGAAGGAAAACAGGCAGTAGGCACTGGAAGACGGGGTCCCCCGGAGACACCACATCAGCCCCAAGGTCGGGCTTCATCTCATGCCTGAGCCCCTAGCTTGAGCGGGGCTGGTGAGGAAGATACTCCTGCAGTGAGAAGGTCCCCACTGGACATTTGCCCTGGACACAGTCAAGGAGGCACCGGGCCTCTTGAAACTTAGGTTGGTTGAACTTGGTTCTAGGCACCCGCCATATGTCAAGATGTGGCAACCCTGGGAAGTGGGCAGAAGGTGGCACAGATCAGCCTGGCCTTCAGAGAGCTCTGTCATGCCCGGGCCGTGCACAGCAGAGTCCACGCAAAGAGAGAATATGGGGAGGACTAGAGCTGGTGGGCACAGTGGGAGAAGGGGGGCCCTTCCTCTGTAGTCCCTGGTACCCCATTGTTCAGGTCTGGTCACCCAAGATGGCCAGACAGAGGAGAGCTAGGTGGAGGGCCCAGGCCTCTTCCCCACCCCCTCTCCTCAAACCACCTTCCCCCACCCCACCCCTGCCACCCTCAGTCCCCTCCACCCCGCCGGCTCCCCTCGTCCCCACGCTGCCACTGACACAATGCACAGCGCCCACGCTTAAAAATCTAAATGCTTTTGAAAATGTTTAACCTAGTTAGACAAATTAGCAAAAATTTGTGCAAAACAATTTAGGTATTTAAAATATTCAATGTTTTTAAAAAACTGGAAAACTGTTCTTAGCTTTCAGCTGCAAAAACCAACAAAATATAACATCCCAGCAATCTTACCATGAGGTGTAACATAACCCTTCGGGAAAGCTGTTAAACAGCTACTGAGGCATCCTGGGAAATAGCACTTCATTTATTCAAATGCACATATGTCAGGCTTTTGCACCATATGTCATTCCAAGCTATTTACAGTAATAATTAAATCTTAATCAACGTTTAACCTCTGTAAAATGTTTGAAGAATCCTAATCACCCTTCAGACTGCACTAATGAAGGAGAAATATATAAACATAAAAGGAAAATGATGCATAGATATCACGCTGGAAAGAACAGTAATTGCAAAATTGTATTTCTTTTAAATATAATCAGTAAATGATGTAAAGTAAGCCAAGGAGTATTTTAAGTTAAGACATCTTGGATGTCAGAGGTGTGAGCAGCTAATTTTGTTCTGCTACCCATAACAGATGTAGCATATTTTATTTTAGTGCCATTATTAGCAACTTCCCATGCCGGCTTTCACTGAAGCACTGAGGCCCACATTAAAATCGGAGAGGCTGCTCAGCACCACCGGGGAGGACCACGGCCCAGGGCCACGGCCTACCGTGCCACTCCCTAGAGCACGTTGGCCCGGGAGAGACTGAGGCCGCCGCCTCCTGGCACCCGGTCTCCCCCGGGCTCCCCGCCACACTGAGGGCAGCAGGTAGGAGCAGGGGGAGACACAGGCAGTGGGAAGGCTCCTGGGGGAGGTGGCCGAGAGATCAGGAGTGGGGGCCCGGGGACAGACCTGGAATCCTAGGCTTCCTCCCTCATTTCAAGTCAATTCACTCTCACGTCAGCAGATGTTGATGGTCGCCAACTCCAGATACCCAGGCTAGGCACACAGAGAGCTCCTGCCCTCGAGAAGCTTACAGTCTAGAGAGGATTTGGCTGGTGAAAGCAGATGGAGTCCAGAGAGACAAGCAGAGTGCCATGGCAACTGGGGAGGGGCTGGGCATTTCAATGCATTGATGAAGGAACAAGGAAGGAAGACTTCTCAGAGAAGGTGGGCCAGGAAGACAATGGAGGATTTTGATCAGAAAGGGCAGACCACGCTTGCTAGGTGAAGAAAAAAGTATTAGCTGGCTAGCACAGCCTGTTTCTGGGAGGCGGGGCAATGTTGGACGTGGAAATTCAGCAGGAAATGGAGGTGTGGCTGGGACAGGCAGAATCTTGTAGTCTACATGAAGGTGTCAGCATTTTATCTGAGGGCAATAGGGAGCCACAGAAGGCCTCTGAGCAGGAGTGGGCCATACCCAGACTCTGTTTTTATTTTTTTCTTGAGCTAGGATCTCACTGTCACCCAGGCTGTAGTAGCGTGACTGCAGCTCACTGCAGGCTCAAACTCCTAGGCTGAAGCCATCCTCTTGCCCCAGCTTCCTGAGTAGCTAGGACTACAGGCATGTGCCACTATGCCTGGCTAATTTTTTAATTATTTAAAAATGTTTTATAGAGACATGGTCTCGCTATGCTGCCCCAGGCTGATATTGAACTCTTGGCCTCAAGTGATCCTCCCACCTCAGCCTTTCAGTGTTGGGATTACAGGGGTGAGCCACTGTACCTGGCCTTAGACTGTCTTAGAAAGGTCTTCTTTAGGATGGTGGGAGGATGGACTGGAGGGGTAAGGAAGGGGTGGGGAGGCCTCCTGGGGAGCGTCTGTGGGAATCAGAGAAGTGCCCGGTCCTGCCCTACAATGCTGCCAGTGGGGGCAGACAGGAGGAGCCTTTCTGAAGATGAAATCCACAGGAGTTGATGACCAATTCCACGTGGGGGTGAGAGGGAGGTGTTGAGGATGACTGTGCGTTGGATGACTCCTAATTCTAGCTCAGGAGCTGGGGTGGCTGGTGACGCCACTCTCAGAGGGAGGGAATGGGCCAGGGTGGGGGGTGGTAGGCTCAGGGTGGCCACATTGAGTCTGGGGTGCCAGTGGGTTCCTCAGGTCGAGAGGCCTGGGAGGCAGATGCGTCCAGGCTCTGGAGCTCTGGGCAGGAGAGAGCGCCTGGGATGTGTGAGCACAGCCAGAGCCTCCAGAGTGGAGGAGCTGGCCCAGGGAAGCAGACAGAGGGGTGGGT